TTTATTTTAATTTCGACTCCCATTTTAATTTTGAAATATCAAAATTTTGAAATGGTATTTTGGGGTCAATTTTGGGGTATTTATATTTCGGGTTTCGGGTCCCAAAATAATTTTGCGTGCAAGTATAGATGAGACAGTATCTGTGAATAGTCAAGCCCACACTCGCTTAGCAGGATGATAAAGAGAGTATTTATATAAGCTAATTCATGAAGCTCGGCGTATTATTGTTATGGATAATGATCTTACTGATCTTAATATAGAATGGATTAAATCACTCCGAAAGAGTAGACAGTTTTCAGTTATCCATAATACTTACCAACTCCAAAAAGGCAAATTGTTTTACCTGGCTCCTAATAAAGAAACCTTATTATCAGAACTCTGGGATTGGGCTAGAAAAATGTCTGTATTGAAACCCGGGGAGTGGAAGAGTGCATCGGTTATATGCCATCTTAGAAAGGATATACAAGGGATTGTTCATACTCTTAAAACTGATTTTCCAGAATTACGTATCAAGGAGTATCATGGTGATTCTAATCCAGTTGAAAAAATGCGGGACTTTAGTAATGTTGAGGAAGCATGGAAAGATGTAGATATAGTGGCATACACCAGTACATTAAAAATAGGAGTCTCATGTACTAACTCCAAGTTTGAGTGGGTATTTTGTCTTTTCAAAAGTTATATAGAAACAAATGCTGGGACAAACCAGATGTTATTCCATATGAGGTGTATTAAAGAATACACATGTCACATTGAACAAAGATCGTCAAATCTCCCAATTACAGAAGAAGGATTATTAAACTGGCTATTAAAAACTAAGCACGAATGCCTCCCCCAAGAACTTCAGAATAGGGGAATATTTTCAGATGTAGAATCCATTATCCGAAATAGAGACATTCTAACAGTTCGATTATGGGTAGCCCATACATTAGAAAAATTCTGATCTTGTCATTTATTTGGGTGGAGAATGGTAGATTTTCTTAAAAAGGCGGGTATGATAGTTTCTATAATAAAAGCCACTTCAAAAGCTAAAGACGATACCGTGACATTAACTGAAATAATAAAGGTATGTTCCTCCGTTATTAAAGCAGAAGAAATTTCAGATATCACTAATGCCAATATTCTTAATCATAAGATGGCCGAACACCTAGAAAACAAGTCAAAGAAGACTTTAGAAGAAATGTATGCGTTAAGTTGATATCATATTGCAGATTGCTATGGGATGACACCTGAATCTTTAACAGAGGAATTTATCACAGATTATGGTAAATATGATCATATGAAATGATTCAGAAACCTCTGGAAACTACGAGATGCAGGTACCAATAATAAGACAGCAGTTGAGGCTGTTACCCGTGAAGATTATAGAAATGATAGGCTTACAACCATTACCCAAGCTGAGAAGTATCGAATTTGCCTGGAATTACTAAAGACTTGCACACTAGTTAAAGATATTGATGATCGAGATAAATATAAAGCGAATATTGTTAAAGCATGTTTAGAATCACCTGAATCCATAAAATATTTCCAAGAATTGATCCTTAAAATGGCACGAGTTTTTGATAATACAGACGCATCTCGCAATGCTAAAAAATCTAGCTTAAAATCAATAAAATCAAAATTAGGATTGTTGAACTCTGCACTTTCTACAACATATGGAATAAAATTTAAAGCTATAGATAAAAATCTTAGACATTATCATTTAGTTGGACCATTCGATAGTGAAGATGCCCCAAAATTACCAGCATATCAAACAGTTGAAGGAGCTTTTTACAAGAATGGAGAAGATATGCGTTACGGGTATAGTAAACTCTCACCTGATGAATTAGAACCACCTCCTAATTGTATCTCACAAAATACTCAGGACTTATTCGATATCGTTTAAAACGAGTATTTAGAATCTGTGGTATATTTCACAAAGGGGTTTTTGTAACGCTTAAAATGATACTTGTAAAAAATCTATTATGAAGGCTGTTTTTGTGACGCTTAAAACTGATATTTATAGTCATATGGTGACTACCTTTGGCAAAAGTGGGTATAATTACGCATCAGCTTCTATTCTCTGTACCTTTTGTCTCTCATACCAATTTCGAAAATAAATCTTCTTCGCATGTTTAGGACAATATCCTATAACAGCACTTGTTCGTTCCCCACAGACCCCACAAGGAATTTTTGCCACATTCCTATCATATAATTTCCAGTACAGCGAACACCCTGTGATCCGCTAACAACCTTTTCCACAAATTGAACCATCTCTTTTGATATATGGACAGGTTAAACACCCTGAAGTATCTCTTTTAACGTTTTGACAGTACCCAGAATCATCTCTTTTAATGTATTGACAGGTTGGATCCCCTATTCAAATCGTTTTAATATAAAACCTGTTTCACTTTTATGTGAATATATTTAATATAAACCCAATTTAAATCCCGTTTTCTCATTGTCAAGTCCACTCGAAGCCAGAAAGTAGATAACATATACTGGAACATATACATCTTTTTTCTGAGAGATAAAGAGGAAAAAAGGAAATCAA